ATCCTGTGATTTGCATAAACTGTGTGCGGAGCAGATGCTTGAACGGCGTGCCTTTGTGAAACGAGACACTCCTGTTGTTTTGGAGATCGGTGCTCATACGGGTTGGTATTTTCGTCATATGATTGAAAAAAATCAGTTTCATGGTCTTAAACAGTATATCCAGACAGATATATCAGAAGAGCGACTAAATCGTAATTATAACGAAATTAAACATATTATTCCATCTGATGTGGAATACGTTCAGTTGTGCTGTGATGAGGAGCTACCTGATCCCTTCGGCATCCCAGAGAGGTCAGTGGATATGGTAGTATCCTGCTTGTCTATGCATTGGGTGAATGATTTGGAGACAGCTTATGTTAATGCACGCCGTATTTTAAAGCGTGATGGTTTCATTCTATCTAGTATGTTTGGTGGTAATACTCTGTACGAGTTACGAGGCTGCTTTTCCATGGCACAGACCGAAGTCCTAGGCGGTGTAAGCTCCCACATTTCTCCAATGATCGATGGTGCGGGCTTGTCGACACTGATCTTGCAGACAGGGTTTAATATCCCTACCATTGACTTGGATCGTCATCTACTACTATACAAAACTCCTTTCCATCTGATGGAGCACCTTTCCTTAATGGGGGAGAGCGCATGCCATCTTCAGCGAAAGCCTCTTAATCGTGATGTTTTACTCGCGACATGCGCATGTTATGATGTTATGTATCGCAGAAGTAATCTTATCCCGGCTACATTTGAGATTTTCCATGTAATAGCATGGAGTCCAAGCTCAACACAGATGAAACCGTTGCCGCGTGGTAGTGGACAAATTCCGCTCGCTTCATGGAACAGTAAGAATAAAGAACGCTTAGAAGGTGTTCTCGACGAATACGCTCGGAACCCAGATGACGAAACCACGCAAGCCAAGGCGCAAGAGTTATTTAAACAGCTTCAAGAAGAGAGTGCAGAGCTTATGGCCCAAAAAGGCCTTAGTGCGCATCCCAACAACGTCGATGGAGAAGGAAAGGCCAAAATGCTAATTAAGAAGCCCGCACCTCCGTTTCAACAGGGAAATTCAGGCGATGTGTGAACAGCGTGGTAGCTGTGTGATCCGTCACAAATCTTTGGACGTTTAGATTTTTTAAGTGTCTCTCTTGGCTTCTTTTCTCTTTGTAAAAGGGAAAGTGGGGACAAAAGGGAACCTTAAATTCCATATATTATTGGTGAGTTCTTAGCTAAATGAATTCTTATTTTTTTTTCTCTATTTTGTCTGAGTTAGAAAAAATAAACAGTGGCTGTACACATCTACTTTATTCATGTTTGTGAGTAGGTTTGGGCCTGAAAATGGATCATTGGTTATGGAGTGCTGAGGATTTTTCTTTGGATTCCTCTAAAGACGAAGTCTTTGTGACTTCAGTTGATGGTATCGGCCTGTACGATGGATCGAAAAAAACAGATTGGCCCGAAGGCAAGGTTTTACTTTCTTCTCATCGTCTTTTGTTTCAGCCCAAGCATGGGGTGGGAAAGAGGGACGGCAAGATTCCATTCCTCGAGCTGGATCTAGAATCGGTTCGGAAGTCAGGGGTGTTGCCCACTATGCGTAAAGGCTTGGTTTTCGCTAGCGACAAAGTTGTGCTACATCTGCCGGAGGGCAAGTTTGTGCAACTTGCCTTCCGTAGCGGTGGTATGAGTAATTTTTTCACACAACTCATTAGCGTTCTCGATAAGGAGTTATGGCGAAATCCTCAACAGCGCTCAAATCTATCTAAAAGTGTCGTCACACATCAACCAGTGGTACCCCATGTCACAGCAGATAGACCTGTGAAGAATTCACATTGTATGAGTCGGCTACCCCCAGCCAAACACATAGGAATTGCAGGGGTGATGCAAGTCACATCTGGGGGCGCTACGCTGCAAGAAACCTTTAACGATATTGACGATGTAATGGCCAAGGCCTCTTCACTTGTTCATAGTATCAAGAGACTAAAGGAGCGTTCTGCCATTGACAGTGGTAGTCGTCAAGGGGGACAAAATGAGGAGGACATGATGGCTATTGAAAGTATTGAGTCCACACTTGGTTTGGGTACTATGGTCCAGGTGGGCGACAAACAACGGAAGAATCATAGCAATCAGCAACGACACTTCCATAAAGAGCTTGCTGGGGAACTGCACGCGTGGTTGGTGCACCCTAAAAACGAACGCCTGTTTGGTGGGATGCCACTTTTACCCTTAATTGAACTCTTTTCTATGTACAACAGAGCACGCAGTGGTGACTTAGTCTCACCAGAGGACGTCCTCATGGCATGCAGAGAAATTAATAAATGGGAGTCGGGGGCGTTGTATCGCTTAGAAACCCTTCCATCAGGATGCGTAGCCCTCATACACAACAACCCATTCATTGCTATGGCAAAGCTACCTAAGATTATCGGACCAATGCTGATAGCCACGCATAAAACTAATCTAAAAGCTCCAGACGATGCTATCACAGAGGATACTAAGGCACAACTAACAAGAAAAATAGAAACAACTAAGACATTTCCTCGCTCTAGCGTGGAGCTCAAATCAATCAATGACATTCAGCTGGCGAGTTTGCTGCACATTTCCGAAGCGGTAGCGCATGACATATTGTATAAACTTACCATGCAAGGCTATTTGTGCCTCTGTGATCATGGCTTTGGGTGCTCAATATACTATTGGAATATCTTCGTTTTTTAAAAGGCCATAGATAATCTCACATTCACAAGGTGGAGAATGCCGCTTTGATTGATTTTTCCCTACACCCTTTTCGATTTCTGTACAGAAATCAGATGACAACAGACGAATAGCAAAGAAAAATATCAAAGACTGATTTTTTTCGAGAGGCGTTTATAGCTTCCTTGTGTTTCCGAGAGGAAAGTGTGTGGTATTCTGTCTCATCATTTAAATAGTTGTATAGGAAAAAATATCTCTATATACTCACCATGTTTTGATGTGATATTGTTAATTGAAGGATTTTCAATTATGCTGTTGGTGTGTGTTAGCGATGGATTCATTTTTAAGAATTGATCTGATGTACTTTTGTGCAACATAGGTTGAAACAGGATACCAACTATTTATTTTACCTGAACATGCATAAACATAAGGAAGCATACATAGAAAATGAATCGAGTTGAGTCTACCCTTGATGCTATCATAGTTCAATTAGATGCAAATAATTTTCGGATATGGAACCCAACTGAAGTGAAATTACTCATCTCGCTGATTGAAACATACTATACACGGGTAGGCAGATCGTGCAATAGGGACTTGACTGCCTTATTTATGAGTCCAAGAGAAAGCTCTAAGCATGTAGAACTCTGCGATCATTCAGAGTTGAGCTACGCATGTGGCTTTGCTAAACTCAACAGGTGTAACACGATAGCTGAAGCGGAAAATACACAAGAACATGATAATCAGAATGCCACATCAACAATGATGGAAGAAGATTTGTTGTTCCAAGCATCTTCATCTTCTATGTGTTTTCCATCGGAAGAACAAGTTGCCGAGGTTGATCGGAACCTCACACGCATTCGTTATTATCTACAGAAAAAATGTCCTTGGGGTAGCCTGAATGAACCTTCCTACTCACCATACAATACGTATGACAGATGCACACCCGTCCTGAAGGATCTCCACGGAGTAAAATGTATCGAAACACACAAGAAAATCCCTCGAAGTTGTGATGAGGCGAGTGAGGAGTGCTGTTCACATGGAAAAAAGGGAAGTGACGTTAATAATGAAGTTGTTCCTTCGTTCTCTTTACTTGAGTCGGGACCAGCGCGCCTTCCTGCTACATTGGTACCGCCACCCGTTTGTGTTGTAGATGCTTTTTTATACAATACAGACGACATTGAGGCACTAGTGGCAGAAAGGCAACTCTGTCGCGAATATTGCCGTCGCTGCGGTTCTATAGATATCGGCCTCGTAGATTTCATTACGCACTCTTTTTCACAAGATCAGCTGGTCTACCTCAGCTGCTTTTTGGTGCCAATGCTTGTAGCTAAGGCAACGTCTAGGTCGTGTCTCACTGTGAAGGCTGCTGCAGGGCATCAAGGCGATGGTGAACCTCGTCGTGGCCCCCCCCTCTCCCCTTCTTCCCAACCCCAGACTCAGGAACCGCATGGTGACGACCGCATCCGACGCGTTGAGTCCGTGTCGCTGGTGGATGTCGGCTCTCGTCTGGGTGTCGTGCTCTGGTCAATGTACTTTGCGGCCAAGGCGGGTGTGTATGACGTGAATTCGGTGACATCCGGTGATTCAGCGGGGAGAGTTCTCCTCAAGCGGGTATTGGGGGTTGAGCGTGATCCTCACTTTGTATTGATGCAACGAGAGCTTGGACGGCGGTACTGTGCTCAGCCGTTTCTTTTCCTTGATATTCTTGAGAGTGATTGCTTCGAAGGAGAAGGGGCCGCTGCCCTAGAATCTTCAGATTTCATTGTTCTCCACAATGTCTTTGAGTACTTCAGTGAGTCTCCAGAGAAACACTTGTGCTGCTGGATGAAGCTTCGAGGGCTCGTACGGCGACCTGGCCAGATTCTTATCTGCTCTCCTAGTTTACAAGAAACTTTTGGAAGTTTTGATCAAATCGATGAAAATTATTTAAGTGAAGTTCTGACCTCGGAATTATCAACATCAGATACACTGCAAGCTGGGAAAGGCTCAAAGAAGAAGAATCGAACTCAGCCTAGTAATTTGGAAGGTAAAGGGGAAAAGCCCTCGAAACGGTTAAGAGAGGATGTATCCGACGTGAAGAAATCCCTTAACATTACTCGGGATGTAAAGGCGAACCGTAAGTGGCAAAAAGAATGGATTGACTCCTACGTAGAGAGCGTTAATGTCGATGCAATTGTGAAGTGCTTTCTAAGGCTTCGCATGGAATCGCAGACTATTTTTCACAATGCAGGGAGTTTTGACGAAGAAAAGAGTCCCGAGTCGCCCCTCAAACGCCATGCGCTTCATCATGGCTCCGAAGAATATCGTGACTACTCTAAACAGTTGGATGATGTTCACTCATCTCTTGATTCTATTCAGCTTGAGTTAGAGGATCAGGTTCGCAATATTTTTGTCTATCGCGTAAAATAATACCCATCATTTATCTATCTAAAGATATAAAATAAAGAAACCTTTGCCAGTGAGTATGAAACGCATAAAATCTTCAAAAGAGGCGCCGAACGAATGCCATAAAGTTTTCTGTGTCTTTTTCATACTCCCCTAAATATCCTTGAAAATTATATCTCATTACGATCCTTTTATTTTGAGGTATGTGGATATTGCACCTGTTTTCAGTTTCTTGTTTTTGGTCGAGCAATCCTTTGTGAAAATATACTTTAGTATCTTTTTGATGACACGTGTCATTCGACACGTATTCACGGGTAAAAAGTGGTTTGCTGCAATGACTAAGTATAACCTACCAATTCAAGGAGTAATTGTGTCGTGAGGAGGGGAGGAGAAAAACTTAGGGAAATAAGGACATATAAAATATTGTTTTTACAAGTCGTAGAATTATAAGGAAATCATGACCAATTTTTTTTCTTAAGGGCATCATCTCTGTCGAGGTTTCTAAGATTCCCCTGAACATTTCTATAGGGATATTGATTCCATGAAACTCCAATAAAAGCGATGTGCCTCACGTGTCATAGCACGTTTTTTGTGTGCGATGTGGTACTCAAAGATGCGTTTCGATGTGGCGTTGAAAACCCTTAGGGGGACCGTATGGGTCTCTTTTTAATTCTTTGTGTCAATATTGATAAGCTTAATCCGCTCCTGCGTTATTTAACCTTTATTTGGAAAACAGTGCTATGAGCTACCCATGTGTTGGCTTTTTGAATAGCCTCGTCTTTTGGCGCGTGATCTACTTCAATAACATCCCCTGCCTGGAAAGCATAGTTGTCGTTGGAAAGATACCATTCGTCATTTTAGGGGTATGCTTTGTCAAGCTTCATTCCTCTGTTCTTCATTGATGAGCCCTTAATTTTATGACATCATGCTAAAGAAGATGCAGAAAAACACGTCTGAGCTGCTTGTAGTGGAGTGCTCTAGTAGATAATGGCGTACTTTAGGGGTTAACATGCACGAAGGTGGCATTACAATGTGCTTATGTCCATTTGTTGGTCTTATTATTTGTTTATCTCATGCCATTCTGAATGATAAAAGTGCAGAATAATATCTTATTATACATTGATGAAGAAGTGCGCGTATGCACACGCTTGCTTTTGAATTATTATTTTTTGCTTAATTAACACCGATTAAAATCTATCTGAATGAATATGGAGTATCGGAGAGATAGGAATAAAGTGTGATATGTTATTGGTATTACAACGATAGTACCCGCAAAATGAGCCCAATGCTACAGAATATTTCGTTTTTATTTTTCATGAGCTCTTTGTTGTGATCACATATGATGTGCACATATCCCACGAAAAAGGTACTTGAAACCATACTTTAGAGGGCTAAGCTCAAGAAGCAAAACAGTTAATGGCACTTTCTAGACAAAAAACCGCTTTCATAACAGGCATCACAGGCCAAGACGGATCCTACCTGACTGAGCTGCTCATAGACAAAGGCTATGTCGTTCATGGAATGATACGCCGTTCTTCCTCCGTAAATACAGCACGCATCAATCATCTGTGCAAACATAGTCAGCTTCATTTACATTACGGTGATATCACAGATAGCACTGCATTGCATGCACTCATCGCAAGGCTCCGCCCGGATGAGGTGTACAACCTTGCCGCACAATCCCATGTGAAGGTTTCCTTCGAAATACCAGAGTACACGGGCCAGGTGTGTGCTATAGGAACGTTGCGACTGCTGGATGCCATTGTGGCAAGTGACCTAGTGGGCCACTGTCGCTTTTATCAAGCCAGCTCAAGCGAACTCTATGGGAGGGCGCAGGAAACTCCGCAATCTGAAAGAACACCGTTCTACCCGTGCAGCCCCTATGCCGTGGCGAAGCTATATGCACACTGGATTACAGTTAATTACCGCGAAGCGCATGGCATATTTGCGTGCAATGGTATCTTATTTAACCACGAGTCGCCCCGACGTGGAGATATGTTTGTTACGAAGAAAGTTGCGAGGGCTGCTGCGCGTATCAGGCACAATAAAGATGAGGTGCTGAGGCTTGGGAATTTAGATGCTTTACGAGATTGGGGCCACACCGAAGACTTCGTACGAGGTATGTGGCAAATTCTTCAGCATCCCACGCCTCAGGATTGGGTTTTGGCAACGGGAGAGCAGCACTCCGTAAGGGAACTCTGCAATTTGGCATTTAGCTGCGTTGGGTATGACTTGATATGGGAAGGCGAGGGTGTTCATGAGTTTGCCTACGATAAGAAAGAGTCTGCAAGAGTAAAATCTCCCAGGAAGCTAATAGTGGTAGACGAGGCTTATTTCAGGCCGATTGACGTCGATTTCTTAGTAGGCGACTCTAGGAAGGCCCGCTATGAGTTGGGGTGGAAGCCAACGCGTACATTTGAACAGTTAGTTTCGGAAATGGTGCAAAGTGAACTGCGAGCGGTTGAAAGTGGATTGAGTTCATGGGTTTGAGTTTATTTAAGGAAAGACACCTAAAGTGATTACTCCCGCCACAAACAAATGTATTATATACCGTTTGTATATTTCTTCGTTATTGCCATTTGGGTTTGGCATTGCCAGCTGTGCTTTGCTCTATTTTAGTATAGAAACTTACACTGAGTACAACATTGTGCTCCTCTTCGGTGTGCTTCACCAAAGTCTAGAAAAGATTTGTAGTTGTGTCTGCCATGCGTCCAGGCGTTGACGTCACGCCTGCGGAGAAAGAGCTTTACAAAGCAAAGGAGTCGCTTTCCCTTCTCAATCAACTTGCCTCTCAAGCCGAACGTGGTAGTGCAATTGAGTTCCAAAAAGCTCTGGATGTTCTTCTGGAAACATCCCACGCTATGCAGCACCTCGCGCGGGGCAAGATTCCGAGCGAGGAGATGGTGGATGCGAGTTGCAGGGACCCATTGACAAACTCAACCAATCAGCACAGTGGGAGTGCTAATCAGGCTGGCGGGATCAGCAGTCTTGCGATGCGATCCTCCAGTTCTACTCGGGGGGCGTATGTGGGTCTCAGTAAACTTACCAGTAGTACAGCCGTAACCGAGCTACAGCGACGACGGGCGGAGCAGGTGCTTTCGGAACTCCAACTGCTTGATGGTTTTTTAAGACGCCAGAGACGGAAGCTTGAGCAGCAGCAACAGCATGTCTTCAACATGGAGCAGCTTCTCGGGAATACTCAAGGAGCTAGGGAAGATGAGAGTATCAGCTATGATGATCTTACCCACCTGGGCAAGGAAGAGAAAGGGTTGAAGTATGCGCGGCGACATATACAACATATGCAAATGGAGAGTCAGGCGGTGCTAACCGCGCTGCAGCAGCAGAGCCGTCGACTAGGCGGTGTGGGAAACAAGATGGCGGATATGATGGAATCCATTGGCGTCTCTAACACGACAATTTTGCAAATAGTGCGTCGAAATCAGCTCGACGCATGGTTGGTGTATGGTGGGATTATTGCATTGATCATACTTATGTGGTATATTCTTTAGTCCACTTATTCTTTGAAATTTACCCTTCTTGTCAAGGTAGCATTGTATTGACAAGGCCTACTAATATATATTTATGAAGCTTTATTAAGGCACACGACCGCACACTATATTATTATGGCGGTACTGTGTCATCGGAAAGGAAGTGGGCTAATTCGCAGTTTTTTTTATGCATGATACTGATAAAGCTCAAGAACATAAACCACTTCATGCTTTTTTTATATAGCTAACTCTCTTACATTCATTGAGTGCAAAAATAATGATGGAAGATGTGACTATTGTCCACGCATTTCACGTGTAACATACAAGAAACCAAAGTTTTATCAATGCTTTTTTCTATCGCATAAAAAATGATAGCTCGTATATCTTCACAAGCGTATAAGAAACTGAGAGGCCTAGAGGGGTGTGCAAATAGTAATCCAACAAAGGTCCAGCAGACCGCATCTTTTGTTTAATAGACACACTAATGGAGTTGGGCCAAGCGAGGCGTCCACGGTCGGAGGTCGCAACGTTCAACGATCTCGAGCCCCGGAAGAAGTGTTCAGTTTGCTGCGGTCTTCGGTGTGCTGCATTCATCGGAGGTTTCACGTTTATATTTACTTTACTCTGTAACTCTATTATTTTGGGAGGGAAGCTGACGGAAGGACGTGGTTTGATCGGCTTCTGTGATCGCAATCTCTTTATTGCCTTACCACTTGCAGCCGTCACTTTCACTCATCATTTGATTCTTTCTGAGTCGTTGTGGAGCAAGAATCGCAAAACGGTATGGGAAATCAACTGGCAATCGACGTTTACGAATATGACGCTGTGGACGGTAGGCACGACGATGTGTACATTGCTCTCGCGCAAGTTCCTGTCCACCTGCAGTCGTACCTATCGTATGCTGATGTGGGACTACTATCGTACCCGACGAGGGTGTGCTAATCCATGGTGTCCAAGCCTTTACGGGCGCATTAGCGCCGATCTGGACTGGTACAACATATTCTGGACACTTAGCTTCTACCACATTGTCTGGTCCATGTTTGCCATTATGCTGGAAAAGGAGATGGGCGCCCAATACGCGATGTTTTTTCGCGACTGGAAGTACAGTAAATGGTGTTCGCCGCGGTGGCGTGAATGGCGCGAGTTGGAAGTCCTTCGAAATGTGCATACCGAACATAAAGTGGCGAGCTGGCGTTGGGGATCTTTTCTGACGAATAGCAAGTGGCATATACGGGGTCAGTAAAAGCAGCAACACGATTTATGTCACCGTTTGAAAAGGGGGGAATTCTCAGCGACTGTAGCACAAGAATAAATTCAGGCGAGATGCTGATGAAACTAGGTCACACAAGATAAGAAGCATCACTAGAACATTCAAAATATATTTATTTAAGCGGCATGTGAAAGAAGACAGACTTAGCCAGTTAGATTCTTGCTTTAATGCCCTTTGCTTTTATTTCTCTCACGTTTTCGTCTTTTTTGCTCCGCAATTCATTTCATGTTTGGTTAGCTGGCTTGATATCATCCATCGCGTGATACCAACAGGTGTCCTTGATTTAGTATAACTCTCCTTCCTCAAAGATACAAAGGTGAGCTACATCCGTAAGTGCAAATTCGAGCTAATCAAAAGATAACTCTTCGGACGATATACAAATATAAGAAGTGATATGTCTGAGGTTGAAAAACTCGGAAAAAATCTCATTCGTCTTGTGCAGGAAGGGGCCGAGACGAGCAGGGTCATCAACTCTGCAGAGCGTCTTCTCGCCCTAAGCTCGAATCATGTCATGGCTCTGAGATGTAAAGTCGTCTGCTGTATGTTTAACGAGAAGTTTGGGACTGCCTTAGCGGTCCTAGATCAGTTGGATGACGTCTGTAGAAAGCAGAATAAGTCAACCGTGGCATTGCCAGAGCTGCTCTTTCAGCGTTACTACTGTCTGTATCGCATGCGGCGTTATTCAGACGCGAAGGCGGGGTTGGAGGAGTCCAGTAAAGCCAATTTGGGTGAGCACATTCCCTCTTTACATCTCCTTGCGCAGCTGTACTACAACCTAGGGAACCCGGAGGCTGCGGCAGAGGTGTATGAATCATTACTCAATAATAATGCCTATCGTGATCGGCAAGAAAAGTTAGAACTCCTAACTAATTACACCGCTGCGCTATGCGCATTCAAGGCGCATAGAGCTGTTGACGTAGTGCGGGACGCCGACGTGCGCAATAGTGACTTAGTTTACAATTCGGCGACAGCTTACATTGAGGCACAGGATTATGACACCGCTTTCGTTACACTCCGGCAAGCAGAGTATCTATGCGTAAAGGATCAGCATCTGGAGAGTAGCATTCAAACGCTAGACGAAGCCCTCGCACTCACCGAGGAGGAACAAGATTTGGTTCTTGGCAGCGACGTAGGAGAGACGAAACTAACTCCCGAGCGCCGCTTCTTCAACAGTGTGGTAAATATTTGGATCCAGATGGCCTTCGTCTATCACGCACAACGCCGCGAGAGTGAGGCCGCACGTATCCTAGCGCTGATAATCCGATGTCGACCGTCGTCGTCCGTGGCGGCTGCCCTTGCGGCGGTAAACTGGACTGCCATCCAGAGGCACAGCAACTTTGTTGATTCGTGCCGCAAGTTGCGTAGGGCCCAACATGAGAAGGTGGCGAGCCGCCTCACACCGAAGCAGCTGCTTGGGGTGCACTACAACATCGCCCTTTTGTATCTCAACACAAACAGTGTAAACGGATGCCACAAACTAGTGGAACGCCTCACACGGGATTACCCATGCAATGCCCTTGCGCTTTCGTTGAAGCTCGCCTTGGCAGCACGAGAAAATAAAAAGAAAAAGCTACGAATAGAGACCCTCGTGCAGGAATATATGGGCGACTCGGCTGCCAATCTCAACTGTAAAGACTGCATGACGGTGGCGAAAAGCAAATCAATGGCTCTCATTGCAGCACAAATTTTCCTAGAATATGGTGACTTGTCAAGTGCACTTGCGACTTTGCAATATCCGGCGGTAGCTGACATTGCGGGCTCGCCTTCGGGGGTTATCACCCGCGTGGCGTGGGCGGCACAACTTGGTGATGTCTCATGTGGGCTCTCATTGCTGGGTAACGCACTTCAGACCTCAACAGCGTGTCGGGATTACGCCAAGCCGCTGCTGATACGCGCTTTGAACTCCCTTACTGCAGCTCAGCAACAGGGTCCATCCCATGCATCTGTTTATGAAGAGGTCGCACGTTTTTTACAACACATTCAAAATGATGAATCCCTAGGTCTTCAAAAAGATCCAAAATTGACGGTGTTGTTGGTCAAGTATCTTCTACAATACGACCTGAAGGCTGCTAAGAAAAAGATGGCAGAAGTTGAGAAAACCTCTATAGCTTCTTCAGCCATCTCACCTCGCAGAGAAGACATTCAGCGCATCGAGGGCACACTTCCGAGCCGTGAAGCACTGGAAAAGCTTGGGTATCGCCGCGTTATGGCATTTCATGAAGTCAACCAACCACATCAGTTATCATCTAGCGTGGATGAAAATAATCCAGAACAGGGCCACACATTGCGACAAAGAAATCACAAACGTCGGATTCGCCGCCCTGCAAAGGATATGAATGGCAGACCTGATCCTGAGCGCTGGATCCCGATGTCTATGCGTTCCTATATCAAAGATTTGCCTGAGCGCCGGAAGCGGGAGCTGAAGCGGTTAAGGGTGCTAGAGCAGGAACAGATAAAGCGTCGTGTGGCGGAAAAGAAAAAAGCAGGAGTTGCTCCAACCTCTAAAACATCTTAAGTCAGCAGTGGATGCTTGTAGGGTTTTCAATATAATTATAAGGATGAAGGAACATATTATCGACGAGTTTGTTGTTAAAATAGGGGAATCTGGCTTGTGTTTAAGATAAATCTAACCATATACTCTCTTGTCAAGGCGAATTTCCTTGTCAGGGATATGTAAATGGGAATCCGCTTATAGTTTTAACCCTTGAAGGGGTGTGTGGGTAATCTAGCACCGGTCTTAAACTGAATAAGTATGATTAACAGAGTGAGCATAACATTTCAGCTGTTGAGTCCTCATTGGTTTTTCAAGACAAGGATTTGTTGATTATCTATTGATATAGCTATTCACTCAAGACAAGGGGGTATATTTCTCTTCGTTTTTCAGTCTCTCTCAAACATTTCTGTCTGATCGGACTTGAAATTACGCATTAATCATTTTGATACTTCGAAACAGCATTAACTAAGATATAGCCTAAAAGGAAGAAGTTCCAATGGGAAAACCAAAGTATCTTAAGAAAAAGCAAGAGGCTACGGCAGTCTTTGTGCAGCACGCGAATAACGAAAGCAACCATGGTAACGATCAAATAAAATCCGAGGGGGAGTTAAAGTCGTCCGGTGCTATGATCTCTTTTGCAAATCCTACTTATCGCCAAGGTGTTAACGACATTCTGGTGGAAAAAATCGATCTCAGTTATCAAAGCACTCCGCTACTCGAAAACGCTGTTCTAAACTTAGTGAACGGGAACCGCTATGGTCTTGTAGGACCCAATGGTTGTGGTAAGTCGACTTTACTTCGGGCACTGGGTTGCTACGAGATCCCTTTTCCATCTCATGTTGACCGTTACTTTGTCTCGCATGAAGTGGAGGCCTCGGACATAACCGCACTCGATGCGGTGTTGTCTGTTGACAAGGAGCGTGAGAGACTGGAATTCGAAATGGAGGAGTTGGCAGTTGCTGATCAGGAGGATGCCCACGTCTTGTCCCGCTTAGATGAAATTTATAGACGGCTAGATGAACTTGATGCAAACACCGCGGAAAGTCGTGCAGGAAAGATTTTATTCGGCCTTGGATTCACACCCGACATGCAGAGGCGTCCGACTAAATCGTTTTCGGGTGGATGGCGTATGCGCATCTCTTTGGCACAGGCCCTCTTTATCAATCCCACAGTCTTGCTGTTGGATGAGCCCACAAACCACTTAGACATTGAGGCCGTAGTCTGGTTGGAGAACTACCTGAGTAAGTTCAATAAGATTCTTCTGATGGTCTCACACTCACAAGACTTTATGAACAACGTGTGCACCAAAATATGCCACATGCATCTCAAGCGACTCACGTACTATGACGGGAACTATGACCAGTATTGTATTACCCGCCTTGAGAAGGAAAGCAACCAGATGAAGAAGTATCAATGGGAGCAGAATCAAATCAAAAGTATGAAGGAATACATCGCTCGCTTTGGACATGGGAGCGCGAAGCTCGCACGTCAGGCTCAGTCCAAAGAGAAGACGCTGGCCAAGATGACCCGCGGTGGGCTCACCGATGCGGTTGTGAAAGATCGACAGATTAACTTTGAGTTTCCATGTTCTGGCTACCTGCCACCACCAATGTTGCAGTTTAGGGAAGTCTCTTTTAACTACCCGGGATGCGAACCACTTTTTCAGAATCTCGATATCGGAGTCGATATGGACTCCCGGATCTGCCTTGTGGGGCCTAACGGCGCAGGTAAGACGACATTGACGAAGTTGATGTGCCGTGAGCTGGAGCCGACGAGCGGTTATGTCTCGAAAAACGCGCACTGTGTCATGGCCCGTTTCCACCAGCATTTTGTGGACCAAATCAATATGGACCTAACACCGCTGGAGTGGATGGCTCGAGAATATCCAGATGTCACGGAGCCGTCAATACTGCGCAGTTCGCTGGGAAAGTTCGGTATCTCTGGCAAAAGTCAAATGACTTCTATGAAAACCCTTTCTGATGGTCAGAAGTCGCGTGTCGTGCTGGCATGGATGGCATTTAAAAGACCGCATTTGATGATTTTAGATGAGCCCACTAACCATCTAGATATTGAATCAATTGACGCCCTGGCAGACGCAATAAATGCGTTTGAGGGTGCTGTGGTAGTAGTTTCACACGATTTGCGCCTCATCGCGCAAATCGCGGACGAGATTTGGATTGTAGATAAAGGTCAAGCAAAGCGGTTCGAAGGTGATATTGCGGACTATAAAGAGCATGTGCAGAACGAGGTTAATCGGATGATACAAGATTACGCATCAAAGTTCTAGTCAGATCTATTTTGATGCTTTCTTTTGTGCTTATCGCACTACTTTTTTTTGCTCTTAAATGCCATTCATAAATATAAATAGATATATATTCATATTAACAGCAATTTCGCTGCGAGATGAAGAACGAAAAGCTTAAAAAAATGAATTACATATATTTGACCTGTAAAAATCTATACTGGCGTTTAAAATAATATTAATAATAATAAAATGACGGTGGAAGACGCGGATTATTAACTTGGTAAGCTTAATACCAGATTAACAAGCCCAAAATATCTTAGGAATTACAAAAAAAAACTCAAACAATGATATCAATAGGATAATAAAAAGATCCTAGATATCTATACAAGATGGAACGGAAACGGGTTTGAACTTCCTTATACATACTCAAGAACAAATTCTTTTCTTTCCTAAATTCTATTTAACAGTTTTACCCGTGTATCAACTTTCTCCTTCAGATTCGAATTTAAAGCTCCTCGCAACCCTAAATTCACAATTATTTAAATATGGCCAAGGGAAAGAAGTCTGCTGACGCCAAGGGAAGCCAGAAGCGTCAGAAGAAGGTCCTGCGCGACAACATCCGTGGCATCACCCGCGGCTCGATCCGTCGCCTCGCCCGCCGTGGTGGGGTGAAGCGCATCTCGAGCGAAATCTACGAGGAAGTGCGCCGTGTGCTGAAGAGCTTCGTTGAGGGTGTTGTTCGGGATGCCACTTCCTACACTGAGTACGGCCACCGCCGTACGGTGACCGCATCGGATGTTGTGAATGCCCTGCGCAAGCGCGGCCACATCCTCTATGGTTATGCGTAGATTTCAAGGATGAAGTGATCCCATTTAGCACGGAAAAAAAGGTAATGTGATACTCTTCTTTGGGCTGTCACAATACTTTTTTTTCATGGAGTTTGCTAAGCTTTTATAGACTTTTTCTTTTATTATAAAATTATTTTAAATTTCACTATTATCTAAAGCCTCTGACAAATTTACAGAAAAAGAAATATATACCCATGTGTGTGGCTTGATTTTCTTTTTGTCACACGAGAGTATCCTGTCAGCGATAGTGATTTGTGTTTCTTCAATAGATACTGTTGTATCTGTTTATTCTATTTGTCCCTTTTTTGTTCACTATTTCAAATCATGAGGGTATTACTTTTCGTTAGCTCGCTCGACTAGCATCTATCCATATCTACCGAAGGAAATAGAACGTAGAAAGTATTGTTTTAGATACCTCGTGACTATTGTTATCTTCCATTTTTCATTACTTGACCTTTTCTAAACTTTCCTTCAAGTAATTCCGTCCCCCTTAAAATAAGGGCTCTTGTTCCTGTTTCATTCACCCTTCGATTTGCTATGCAGATAAAATTTACCCCTGCGGTGGAAAAAGCTATTGCGGAGGTCTTTCCCCCGCGTGACACCTTCGATTCTTCTACCTTTGATCCCATTGAGTACCTTAACAACCATTTTCCCGATGAGTACAGTCTGTCGGAACTACCAGCATTTTGCGAGGAAAACAAAAAACGCCTCCGGAAGGCCGAGAATGAGTTGCTTAAGGCAGTGGAAGCGCAGACCGTGAACGCAATGAACTCTGACAAGGATCTGCGAAACGCGCGGACAGCTGTCGCAGATCTGTACGATCGTGTTGCTGACATCAAAGCTAAGGCAACCAAAAGCGAAATTACCATAAAGGATATGTGTCAACATATTTATGAATTGGATATCGCCAAGAAAAATTTAACAGCCAGCATAAACACGCTCCGATCGGTGCAACTATGGATGCTACAGCTTCAGGCCCTATCGTCATCGTTTGAGCGTCACAAGTTTACGCAGTGTCGGGATGCGCTAGAGGAAGCGCAAAGGTATGCTGCGCAGTTCACTTCCATGAAGAATATTCCGAAGGTAAAGGAACTAAATGACAAGCAAACTCAATTATGTCAGAGGATTGAGTACTATATCCGCCATACGATTTTTGGTGATATTAGACTTGAGAATATTGATACGGATGTGATGGCGAAGGCTTGCGCGATTGTGGACTTGATGGGGCCCAATAGTATTAAAAAAATTCGGGATCGATTCGTTGAAAAGTCACTAGAGCCGTACATCCTTCGCTTCAAACGCGGCACCGACGATTCAAGGCTTGAGCGCACGGAACGTCGCTATGTTTACATCCGCACTCTGTTGGAAAAATACGACAGAGTTTTTAAAAATGTGTTTCCTCAGCACTGGTGTGTACCACAGGAGCTTTGCGTCACCTTTTGCCTACGCACGAAGCAGGAGTTAGACTACCTACTTCAAAACACTGCCGGGAGTATCGACGTAGTGGTGTTGATGTATCTTTTACAGAAAACCATCGATATCGAGCGTGACATGACGCAAATGACGGCCTGGAAGGAAGATTTTCCGGGACGGCATGAGCTTCCTGTCTACAGATACAATGGCCTTATTTTGTTAGCTTTTAAGGATCACATTGGGATTTTCGTAGAAAATGAAGACAAACTGATGCGCGAAGCCCTCGCTCAGTCCCTTGTTGGTGAGGGTGAGAACACATGCATAGGATGGAACGGGGAGGAGGACGTCCGACAGGGGACGGTGCTCCCGCTTGCAGATGATATTTTTGTATTTATTAAAGAGAGTCTCAAGCGGACGCTTCGTATATCACAGCAGGATGTACTTCTCGATGTGGCGAAAGTTTGGCGCAAACACCTTATGAGTTTTTCTAGGATGATTATGGCGGTTCTCTCAAGTCCAGCGGTGAGCCCACTCGATGTCCGCCGCACGTGTATTATTCTTAACACAGCGGACCTCTGCCAATCCACATGCAAGGGTCTCGGTGAGGAAATCTGTGCCCGCAGTGAGACTCCAGCAAGTGAAGTCGCCTTTGAAGAAGTCGTCACTGCTTTTTATGAGTTGTATAACAAATCTATTCAAGCTATTGTGTTGGGTCTAGAGTTTAGCCTGACGCCTTTGCTAAACGAATACGGAAATGGCGTCTTTATCGAGGATTGGGCCGACAGCGAGTCTGGAGCACAAGACGAGTCTAAGCTAATACGCTCCATTATAACTACCCTACGTGAACTTGTTCTAAACTGCGCGGTTGTGCTGCCAACAAGGGTCCTTCGATTCCTTCTCGATAAGGTGGCCGCCAGGATCATCCCCCAATACAGAAACACTTTATATCGTTTGAAGTACTTGACGAATGAAGCGGTGGGAGCTATGCGTGTAGACTCCGCCGCCCTTGAGAAAACTTTCTTGCAGCTTCCTAACTACAACGACCCCCAGCGTTTCCAAGCTCACACACTGACTGGCTACATGAAACTAGTGCGGCGTGAGTTCGATGAGCTCAATCGAGCTCTTCGGATTTTGCAGGTGGATGTGTTCAGTGAGGCGTTCCTGGAAGTATACTATGAGGTTTCATTACCAGAGGATCGTTCCATTCAGAACTTTGTGCGCTTGGTTGAGTTAAAGGGGCGTAAACGGGACGAGGTGCGACCTTGGATCGCCAGTTTATCGAAGCGTGGTGTAGTAGAGGCAACTAAACGGGATTTGGTGTGTACAGAGTCGTATCCTATAGCCATCGGTACCACATCGAGTGCAGTGAACGAAAGTGGTGACACAGAAGCAAACGCTGCCGGCGGGCTCATCTTAGGCATGCTTTTTTCGTGAGACTCTGTGGCAGCAGCAATGTCATCAGTTAACAGGTCGACAACATTTTCGTCTAGATTGCCCGGAGATAATGTCGGGATTCCTTCGGCACACACATCTAGCATAATGGGATATAATCATAATATTCATTCAATGGTGCCGTCTGCAGTGCGATGTGATGGTAGTGTAAATGGAACTGAGGAAGGCTTTGGCGCACGTGTCGCCAACGCAGCCCGTACAACAGCGACTACCATCAGCTTTCTCAATAAGTTCAAGAAAAGAGACCTCAGATAGTATACTGTTCACTATGTCGCTAATGGCCCCATGGATCGGGTCTCTCTTATGTCAATTTTGGTAGATTTTACTTAAATTCTACTCTTTCGTGTTTTGGAATGCATTTCAAACTCATCGTAGCCCTTTTTGTCCTGTCTTCTTTTAAGTATGTTCCTACTCCACACACTATATTTCCACTCCTTGAGTTGTACAATAGATTTACTGTTAATAGCGAATTCATTTTTCCCTTTTTTTTCTCTTAAGAAAAGAACGGAAAAATTATTTTTGCTTAAGGGTTGAGTATCTCATTTATACACTTTCTTACACATCTGTGGTTTGTCTTTTGTGTGTGTGCACACAGTAGTTTTACAATCAAATGGTTTCATCTCTAAGCAAAAAAAATGTCAAAAAAAAAGCATACTACGTCAATGGTCGCTGACTCTGATGCAGTATCGACTGCTAACACAGAACCAGAATCCACCATTGGAGCATCAGGGACTTGTCAGGTAGGATCCCTTGTGAGGGTGCTGCCGACACCACCTCAAACTGAATGCCGTCGCGGTATTCTGCGTTTTTTTGGGACCACTGATTTTGCAAATGGACTTTGGGTTGGAATAGAGTTAGTTGGCTTGCCTGGACATAACGACGGAAGTGTAAGAGGGCGCAGGTACTTTACTTGTTCACCCGGGCAGGGTATCTTCGTGCGACCAAATTTAATAGCTCCATATGCAGAGGACGATCAGGAAGAAGAAAGGTCTAGAAGCAAGGGTATATCACAAGGAAGGGATACAGGGGAGGTGCGCAGTGACAAGTTTGAAACGCTAACAGAGAGTTCGAACCGAACATGGGATACAAATGTTACAGGAGTTAAAACCTTTAAAGGTGAGGAAGAGTCCGTTGTGGGGAACTCGAAAGGGACACTAAAACGAATCGGTAAACGCGAAAATGAGAATCAATTGCAATGTGCTGCGTGGGGAGCAGACGCAGCACAAGCTTCTGAGCAACCCGATGCGTGTACAGCATTGTCGCCATCCTTGTCAAGTCTCACGGAGCAGTCACAACGAGACGAGGATGTTAAGACGTCAGAACATGACAATACTCCCACAATAGAATCGGCGTTGATGGTTAAAGAAGACGGGTTGCCATTATTGGCACCGCTGGGCAACGAAGCAGGGGAAATTGGGCAACCGCAAGATGGAGCTAACTCTTCTAGACAAGAACCACGTGTTGGAGAAAACAAAGAGGTTGAATGTATGGAAGTTAATAATGAGAAAGCGAATAGTAGTGATCCTTTGGCCATTCACTTTGAAGAACGAAGTGACACACCACAAGTAATAGACAATGATTCTCTAAAGAAATCTTCTAGTTCCAACTCTGGGCATGTAGTTCAAACAATAGTATTAGCGAGAGAACTTGAGGAGTGTAGAATGACGCTATCGGTTCCAGGAGAAAAAATTGTGGATATCACTAAGGCGGATGAGGGCTTTGAAAGATTTTTGATGCAGGAAAATGATGTAACGCAAGAACGCATTGGGGATCTGAAAGCATGTGTATCTCCTCTGCGAGAAAAGTTGTGTATTAAATGTCGTGAAAGTGAAAAGGTACAGCAAATTTGTAGTGCCATTGCCTTAAGAATAGAAACACTCGAAAAAGCGCTGGGAGAGACGCAGAATGGGGAAACTAGTAACGCCTACAAGTCTCCTTTTAAGGCACGGGATATCATTTCTGCACTCACACGTGAGCGCGACGAATTAAGGGAGATTTGCGACATTCAAGAAAGTGAACTAATAAAAGAAAAGGATCAATCCGATGAGTTTAACAAAGTCCTAAATACCGTTAGCGAGGAACACACCCGTGCCGTCGAGGAGTGGGCCAAGGTAAAAGCCACGTTAGAGATGCAGCTGCAGCACCTAACACAGCGACTGGAGGAGGCAGAGCTGTGGAGGCAACGCGATGACGCGCCCCGAGCGTTGTCAGTATTCGACGCCGTCCCTCACGACACACTACCAGATGGACTACAGACCCAGCAGGAGGGGTTGAGTCACCGTGCACAGGAACTCTCCCGACAGCTTGACGCGAGTAGTTTGCAGGTATTACAGCTTCGAAAAGAAAAGGAAGCCATAGAGATGCTGCGCAAACGTAGTGAAGTGCTTCGCTCTGATCTTGAAAAGGCCTTGCAAACCCAGAAACGGCGAGAAAAGGAGGTTGTTCAGAACTACGAAGATGCTCTTCAGCAGATGCGCAACATCAAGGATAGGGCTCAGGCAGAGTGCATTTCCTTACGTAAGCAATTAGAGAGTGTGAGGGCAAAAAGGCAAAACGATGAAGTGGCTTCTATTGGTAAGAGTTCATCGTGTATTGTAACGCTGACTAAATGGGAAAGAGAAGAATACGAAACAATCATTCGAAGACAGCAGCGAGCTGTGTGGAGGTTACAGAAGAAGCGTTTTTTTTCAGCCCTTTCTCCAAGCATCGCAATCATTAGAAGCGCACGCCTGAAGGAGGATACGGCCATCAAAAATCTTTTCGCATTAACTAATAAAGCACCAAATGGAAACAGATTAGCACGGGAGGCACGGGAGGAAGTTAGTTACATAAAGCAGTCGGTATATTTTTCATCTTCGCTATTATCAGAATCCGCATCAAATCCCATCATTTCCAAAGAAATGCCAGCAAGCTGTTTTTTAGACTTTCGCTCAGAATGAGCTCGAAAGCATTTAATATGTAGTATATTTATGTGCTGAGCATAAACAGCTCTGATCTGAGTATCATTTTTTAATATTAAGATTTTCACCTTTGTTTTACTCAGCCTTCGCTTGTGTTTGAGGATTCATAGTGGGAAAAGGGAACATATTGGTGGATTATTTTACCGAATATTGCTTATAATAAAAAACGTTCTTCACAATAGGTATGCTATCATAGCAATATGTCGCTGGTGGTTAGATGTCGACATTATCTATGAAAGTAAAATTCAATGTTAACTCTTTATAGTATTTCTCTATGCACGTCAGAAGTAGTAAACAGGTTAAAACCGAGTAAAAGCATAAAGTCGGTGATATTTTGATCTATGTACATTTATCTATGTGGAAATATATAACATTCAATTTGTCGTTAGTATTTCTTTTTCCGAATTTGTATCTCTTCACCTAACTAAAATACGCATTATATACATATATAAGCTTGGTTTCGTCTTTTTCAACTTCTTGTATTTCGGATATTATGTAAGAGGTAAGAATGAATATACGTCAGGAATCGTGGACTCGGGACACTTATTTCCGAGCTGCTACAAATCTGTGCGCAAATGTTTTGAAAGAAATTCGTCGCCAAGAGGATGCATTTTGTTCTAAAAATGCTGTGTTTGAACAAAAGCTAGAGCTCGATCGTCAGCAGTTCCTATCTCGGCTTCATCGACAAAGTTATGGCAGCATTCACGAGGGCGATGAAAATGGTGTCAATGCGAATGATATGGGATTACGTTGTGCAGTGGAAGAAAGTCTTTATCAAGAAGATGAAGAAAAGTATCGCATTGAGTTCATTTCAGATCTTCAACACGAGCTGCCGCTTGCCTTTCTTAACGATGAAATAGAGTTAGAATTGAAGTGTAACCTTCATAAGCTACTCCGCGAGAAGTTGTGCGCAATCGCCCTGGTGCGCGAAGAGGAGTCTAAGATACCAAGCAGACAGCGGCCAGCAGCGGCGCATGCGTCTAACTTTTCCATATTGACGAGTTGTAAAGCATGTCAAGCTTCTATACCCAAAAGTAATGTAATCAAGCCGGAAATCGAACTCGCGGTGGATCCATGCCTGACCACTCTCCCTTGCCCGGCGCAACCGTTGCAACCATCTGGGCCTCCCGTGGAGGTGGGACATAAGGTAAAAGTCACCCAATCCTCCCTATTGGCCGCGTCCGATGGCAACATAGTGCAGAAGGGGAGTGACCGCGATGTCCTTCCCGCCGACCGCCATCGTCGGGATCAAGAGCAACCTCTTGGACCTGGCGCAGTTTGGGTACCCCTTCCCATCGGGGCCGAGTCTCTTGTTCATTACTCCACTCCCACGGTTCGTGGGTTGTCCTGGAGCGGGGCACAACTTGACAGGCCCAATGACACCATTCAGATTAAAAAAACGAAAAGTAGAAGACTGGAGGGTCCAAACAAACAGCTCGACAAACTTAAACCCCACAAAGTAGCCCACTCCTCCCGTTGGGCTTCGTGCGGAATGGAGACTTTCAGTTTGGGGAGCTTTGATATAAATCAAGGAATCACAGAATCTATCACAATCCCAGCTGCGATGTCATCTTTGAGTACCTCGATAACGCTACCAAGCCCCTTTGAAGGGAATGCTGATGAAAGCGAAGGGACGGAGAACCTGCCAAAGTGGTTAGCCAAAATGATGGCAACGGTACCCCATGCAAGGGTATCCTTGTTAACATTAAGGTTTATACATAAGGCACTTCAGTCTGAGGCATTGCATAAATGCCACTTTTTCGCATACCGGAGAGGTCTCCTACGAGGTAAGCTCACAGAAATGTTCACTAAACGTGACACTAAGCAAAGAGATGCACGAATTAATGACAACGAAATTGAACACAGCGTTGCGGTGTCATCTAGTCTTGATGGCAAACGCGTGTTGCCATCCGACGAACTACGCATTTGTGCCCTCGCTGTTGAGAGTGTTCAAGGGCCAATAGAAACAGAAGACAATCTGCACGACCCACAGCGTCGATTTCACCAGCTAGTACTGGAGGAAAACGCGTACAAAAAAATATTCCGTGGCGAGTTAGAGCTCGCAGATCGCCTACTAAATGGGGAACGGTGCACACATGGTCTTCATCATTCTAACGGCATAACGACTAAGCATGGTACAGTATATATGGCTGATTGTCGAGAAAATGGCTGCATGAATGTCGATGGTAGTGTAGACTCTGATGGTCCTGTCCAGACGCGACTCAGTAATGATGAGTCAAGTAAGTATCTATGTGATGGTAACTCTTTACAGCAAGGTGGTGCGGATAGGGAAGGGCATTACACGGTCTCTCTATTTAGTAGGGATTTGCCTCGACTTATTGGAGAGACTGTGAATGCATTGAATCGAGACGTGCTGTGGACTCAGAGAGAGGGGGAGTATGTGATTATCCAACTTGAATCCGAAGAGCTTAACAAAGACGAGGTAATTTTGTGCCATTCGTACGCTAATCCCACTTTTTCGCACCGGAGTGATGTCGATGAGAGAAATCAAGAGCTAGGATGGTTCAGAAGAGAAGTGCAGCGCTACCTCTGGCCTGCAGAATTAGAGGAACGCATTGGACATAGTTTGCACGGCTATGTGCGCCCCTCAAACAAGAGCTGGTGTCCTATCATTTCACGAACGGGGACCACAAAGGCTTATTGTAAACAAAAAGTCGACACTGATATCTTACCAAAAATGTCTGCTACTAATACTGAGACTAAAGTATCTTTTGGAAATAATTATCATGAAGAAAGTATGGAGTGGGAGACAAATGTAAGAAGTGGGTGCGCGGGCATTCGTAGTCAACCTTCACAAGCTCATGGGGCTGAATTAGATAAGCTCCTATCAAACGCGTCGTGTGTGGCACCGAAGCTCCCATGGAGAGGGATGCGGGCGATACTATCAGTTCGCGGGGCCGGAGATCTCATGGCGTCGGAAGTGACCTTCTCGACATTCTGGGATGGAGAAATTTAAAAGAACATATGCCTACCATTGTTGTCAGACGCATATTGTGTTGTTAATCAACGAAATGGATTTCTATTAAATGTGTATGATAAAAAAAATTGAATGAAACCGAATAATCTCTCATACGTCTATGCAATCAGTACCGCTTTACTATTTAATCTCGCAAAGGTTTGTATTGGAGGATAATATCACTCTACAATGGTAGATACTAGCATAGTAGTAAAGGAATCCGCCATGCCATGGGACCTTCAGCAAGATTGTGTTGACTGTGTTGCTCACGCTTTTTGTGAACTGCGCATTCAAGAGCAAAGCCAAATTGCCAAGTTCGTGAAAAGCGAACTCGATAGTAAGTATGGGGCAAACTGGCATTGCGTTGTAGGCCGTTCCTTTGGTGCACTCGTTGGCCATGATGGAGAGCATTATGTATACTTGCAGATAGGAGATGTTTATGTGCTTATTTGGCGTATGGATACAGAGTGTGTAGGTAAAATGGTATTGTTATGAATGCAAACAACACGAACGGTGATGCAACAAAGGCTCATGGATGCTGAAAAAAAAAGCGAAGCAGTTTAATACAAACGGGAAAGATATGATGAGAAGGGTCAAGATCTAAAAAGGAAGGCTACTCTCACCCTTCCCGCCCAACTATATGGCTCCGGACGGTAAGATAGCTTGTTCCAATATCCCTCCACCGCGTTGGAAAGCTTGAATTAATGATAGTGTTTGCGTTAATTGTCTTACTGTAAAATCACAGCAAAGAATTATTTGCAATTTCGTTCTTTTCCTCGTCCGCTTGTCAATATTTGATGTTAACCTGAAGAATATAGCCGTGGAAATGCGCTACATAGTTTTCCCTATCGAGATTGTCACCTTACTAAACCTGTTAACGTGTAAAAAATTTGTTTATTCCTTTTTGTTCACTATTACAAAGGGATATAGACGCGTCTTTCAGGGTAATAATTGAAGGGGCGCAAACGTTCAGGGTGAAAATGGAGCAAAAGTATACTAACTGTAAATTTTATCGTTTAATTGCTTACTTCAGACATTCCAACTCGAGACATATGTCCATTAGTCTTAAAAAGGCATAATAATACAAAAACTTACGTCTCATTGATCAAAACTAGATAGTCTGAATAGTTTAGACTTTAACAATTGATTGAGGCGAGTAGAAAATGATCTGGCGAGGGAGGGAGAAGTAAAAGATTTCCTGATGATTTTATTGTTGATGATACGTGTGTTTTATGCAGCCACTTTTGCCTACATTTGTACCGATGAAATGAGAATGTATCATTGATCACTTTTATTCATGCGCGTGTGTATCACCCATGGTTTTGCAGTCTTTAAGCTCGAGTCCTTTCTTAAGGTCCCTTTTGTTTTTCAACAAAGAATTGGATTGCTTTGGAAAGTTTAAAAGTTGTGTGGTCTAAACTTTATCGAGCATTTATTTACCGCTTTACCTTTCAAGCGGTAGCGGATCATATTCAAAGTAATGAATACGTGGGAACGGCACTTTTTTTTTTTTTGCTTCCTCTGTATTCTGCTGCCCTTTGTAGCCCTTTACACATTTACTGGATTCCCAAATACCAACTCTAGTGAATTGATCGATAAAAAAATAGATCAGATTCGGCGTCACGTAGCTGATCGTTATCTGCAGCGTACGGCACGACTCGACAACGTCTCCCCGTTACTATCTGGTCTGTTTTTCACTATTGCTAAACGCGGTTACGGCGATCGTGCACCAACGGAAGATGCTATATGCGAAGTACACTATACTTATCGTTTTAGATGCAATTTGGTCTTTGAGGACACTCGGAGGAATACGTATCCAATGCACCGAGCACCATCACAAATGATTGCTGGTGCAAAGGAGGCAATGTAGCTCATGCGTGAGGGTGATCGGTGGCATCTTTATGTTCCTTATTACCTTGCTTTCACTCAGAGGGGTGATACGGATGAAGTACCACCTTGGTCAAACTTTATATACGATATAGAGATCTATAAATGTAGTAATGTGAAGAGTGAAACTGGTGAAGTGATTGATGCATACCCGAAAACCTATGCGAAACAGCTGTTACCCGAGCAGACATCGAAAGCTTACTACGAAAACTTATAGTTATGATATCCAACGCTGGTGTCTTGGAATGGGGGATCGCTGAATTCGGGATAATCTTCAGCTGAGTGTTCTCTTACATTCATCAAACGTAATGGCTTGATTCTTATTAGTCAATATATATATATGATCATGTGTTTTTCATAATAGCTTTTGTACCTGATTCTATACTAACAAATGAAGGGCACCATTCCTCTTTGGATGTATATCCTTTCAGCTTTTTTTCGCATTTTATCGCTTCCTTTCTCCTACTGTCATTACTTTTGTTAATCTATGCAAAAAGAACCACTTAAAACCACTTTTTATCGCGACATATTGGGAATTTGTTCTTAGGTTCCAGTTCTAATGAACGAGCAATTCAATATAATAAATCATTCGTAATGTATTTACCAATATCGCTCGCTGCATCTACTTCGTTAAGTAAGTAACGTTCCAGTTGTAATTAGGAGTTAGCGCTCCGTATTTTTGGGATAAATATATCAATAACTTTCTTGCTGTTGTTGTTACAGTGACTAAACGGTTGACCAGTTATCATTGCCAGAAGCCTGCCGAGCACAGAAGTATTTAGTAGCACTGTTTATGCGACTGTGAGGCATCCTTCTTCAATGAATATTTTGTGCTCTTACGTCTGAAGTCTATTCATCTAGCATTCGAAAAGCTATATTAGCGGAAATTCTAAGTATTATGCGGAAGGGGAGAGAGAAATATTTTGAGTTCATTAAAGGATAATGTATCATTCACAAGTACCTTTTTTCTAATTCGATTTCTCTTTAATTTTAATCACAATAGGATACATTTTTAATTTTTCGCTTGAAAATTCAAAGAGTCTTTAGAAAACACATAAAGGGAGAGCAATCATAGTCACTACTTCAGTATTTTGGAGTTCCTCCAGGAGGATGGTGTGAAGTTTTCGGCACTTTTCCTGTATTTTCAATACCTCTTTTTTTGCTTGTGTTAAAATAAATCCTTTTTTTTTGTATACAAACGCGGCCAATTTCTTAGATATACGGATAAATATGTATATTTGTGATAATATTATATCTGAACCCTGTAGAATATTTCTACAATTACTCCGAATATACCTATAAGTTATTCATATGAATATTTACTGACCGTTTTCTACATTTTATCCAACGAACCAAGTGAGTGAGGTTGATATTGTTCTTCTCGGAAATAGCTCATAACGGCACAGATGTACTCAACGTCAATTTTTGATATTGACGAAAAACAGTTACCGCCGCAGTTAAAGAGGAAATATGAACCATCTTACAATATTTCCCATGTGAACTGTGGTAAGGCTTGTTTAGAAACCTCAGTCAGTCTTCCAGTGCAAAGTGTCGAGCTGCCCCAAGGAAACTTTTCCTCTATTAGTATCACTCAATGTTCTCCTTTGTTAAATGAAAATCCTAAAAAATATAAAAATAACAGCACGGCGTGTAAGCCAAATGTATGGCAAAATCAAAATGCACGACAATCCTGCCCATTTGGTCAAAGCTTCGTTGCGCCCGCATCACCTCCTTTAGCAACCTCATTGATCTCGAAAACTGCACTTGAATCCTTATCAACTGCGCCACAACAAGCAACTCAGCTCAAATTTAAGCACAGTATCTTAAATGAGGAAGATAAGGATGTCAACCTACATCTCCTTTCGCAATGTAAGTCTCTCTGCAAGTCAAACCAAGAGCACAAGAACGTTTGGAATGATGAAAGGACAGAACGCTTGTGTAATACATTCACAACATTGTCTTCACCTGATGATCCCGAGGGTGTGTACCTTTCTGGCGGTGAGCGTTCAGGTATTGAAAATCATGAAAATGAGGAGACCTGTGAGGAGTATGGCGTTCAACGGATGGATTCGCCCTTATATGTTGAACTCAAAAAGGGAGATGAGTCGGTGATCCTGCTACCTGGTATGGAAAACCACCATGCTAAAATGGTACAACTTCGGAAAAAAATAAACGAAGTTGTCTTGCAGGTACGATCCCTGCGTGCACGTGCTCGCGCTCGTTGCATTGATTCATTCTTCAGACTTCCTGTCGTTGGGATGGGTGTGTGTGACCCTTTGCTTCTGCCGGAAACCCCTTTGTCATGCTGCAAGTCTAGATCCTGCTTCCCTCTGCTGTCGTGCGGTCCTGTCGATGAGAAGGGAATTGAAAGCGGTAACCCAGAAGTTAGCCCGCAGACCTCGGGTGCGAATTCAAAAAGCAAAACGGAGCGCCTGTGCCAAGACCTGGTAGCGGTAATTTGGGATGTCAACCGCGCGAGCATAGGCCGATGTCTGACCCCATCGCGACTCCCGTGGCTTGGACAAGAAACTGAGAGTTCGCCTCTGTGGATGAGATTAGCAAGTATTAGTAATACATCAAGTCTATTTCATGCACTCCAAGGGCCAACCCAATTCACGGTATCCGTCGATAAAGAAGAATGGTCGCGGGAGAAAGAAAAGTTCATGCCTGGTGAGGGAACTGCTCATGTGCTAGCGGCCCCTGCGCAAGGCGACTCAGTCGCCCGTGGTATCTTTTCGACGGATAAAAGGTGTCCCTCCGCCTGTTCTTCTCGTGCTACTGGTGTGAATTCGTTGCTAAGCAGTCTATTTGGCATTCAAGAAATTGACACACTTGAAGGCAATCTGAATACACCAAGTAAGAGTAAATCTTCTGAAAGTTCACGTAAAAACAATAATAAGGAAGAATGTTGGAATTTCCGTTTAGGGAGCTTAACAGCTCCGAGAAAAGCTGCAGAAGTGGTGGATACGGACGGCTTTCAAGATTTAGCATCTGGACAAAAATTGATTTCAGGTGTTGAGGACGAACATTCTGAAAAGAGCGCAGTAACTAACGTTATGCTTTCTGCTTCAGAGCTTTCGGAAACATCTTCTTGTAGAATTTTACACAGCTTCAGCCCTGATAAATATGCAGCAAACTGCAAGACCATAGATACGGGCGATTTTTTTGATTCCTGCGACATCTATCCGGTTATAGCGCAGAATAGCTACTCAGTCGCTTCTTATTTGCTACATACATCGCTGAGTGAATTAGAAACTAACAAACTCGCCTTTTTTTCTCAACTTCTTTCAGAGCTCTATCGCGCCCGTGGAGAACTCCTCCGGCAGATTGATCGTATAATAATTAACTATGCACGGGCTCATGAACTCTGGGAGAGTAGCGAAGCACATGCTGCATGCTATAGTTGTGGGAAATCTTTCTCTGTCTGCACACGCAGGCATCATTGTCGCCGTTGTGGGCATTTGTGCTGCGCCAATTGCAGTCGATTTTTTGGGAAACATCAAGACACATCGACGAAATTAGCACGCTCTGTGATTAAGACCGAATACGCGGCGCGCATGACCGCCGATGATACTGGTGACAATCCTGAAGAATGTTTTGACACTCACACTTACCTTGTGAATAAGTTGTCAACTTCGGCGGATATAAACAATGTATTGGCAGGTAGGCTGCATTCTGATCTATCGTCGGAGATATCGCCACTAACGGATGAAGAAAAGTCGTTGAACACCAGTTATTACGCGCATGTTATGGTCAAATGTGAAAATCGTGATGACGAGTGCTACACAGGAGGGGCTTTAAAACTTGATCATGGAAAATATGGGCCTTCATATCATGGCAATGTCGCAAGGCAGCGGGTTGCGAATCTCCCCCCACACTTGGGATGTGACAACATCGCTAAAAGCGCGATGTATGAGGTTGGTATGAAGGAAATTGTTGATGGTAGGGTAGATAAGGGGGGTGGCTCCGCCAGAGACCCTCTGTCTGATACGACCTCGCGGATCAACGCGTGGCTACGGATCTGTAAAAGCTGTTATAGGCAATGCCTTCGTGCACGAGAACGGAATGTACTGAAGCGCATGCGCAATGCAAACCGAATTGTTCTTGATGACGGTTTGTTCTACTTTCATGTGCTTTCCCAACGGGAGCAACGATCGATTTGGACCTATATGCAGAAGCCAGACTCTTTAAAAAAAAAAGTGGAACTACAATTAGCAGTGATGTCTGAAAGAGTCGCGGAATCAGTTAAGCACGTCACCACGTGTGTTGCAGCCTCATTTCGGTGGCAAGCTGAGCACTACAGTTTTTGAGGGGTGTCGGGGCGCTGGGAGTCAGTGTGATGTGCAAAGCACAATACATTACAAAGGAATGTTGTGAAAATACTAATTACTGGAAACCATTGATTGCCACAACTTTACCGCGCTAACGAAAGCATGAAATAGGAAAAGAGCAGTGAACAATAAACGGGCAGTAAATCGCAAAGAATGATTACATTCCCTTAAAAGGGGAACCAAAATGAACGACAAACGTCGGAAAAGTTGGTTTGCGGCCTAATACAAGTATAAATGGGGTGAAGTTGCAAACAGAGACATTAAGTGCAGCAAGCATGAAATTTTCGATTTGGCCGTACATTCGTGCAGCTTTTTATCTTCTCAATATAAGTAAACAGTATATGGATAAATACTGAAGCACAATGGGCAAAAATGTATACTTCTTTACTTTCATGCACTTTTTTTGTTTAAAGAGAAAAATTTGCGGCGTTTGAAGTAATTCGCGGTCGATATTACACGTTAAAAAAACCATTGTGAAAAGGGAAACCCATCACTTAAGCGTTTTTTATACATCTTTCAAATGTGGGATTCCCATGAATATTTCTTATTCAAAAATGGCAAGATGGATGTGTGCGCATGAGTATGGTATCATTTGACGATATGCTTGTTAACCGGACGCTTTATCTTTTTTGGAGGGCATCGCTACTTTGTTGAGGAATCCTAAATTAAAATATCATGAATAGTATATTTTTACCCCTATCGGAAAACAACATGCAAATATCAAATAAAATTCTATACATTATATATATGGTGTCATTATTACATTACACCGTTATCTATAATACCAAAAATACTTCCTTTCTTTTCCCCTTAACTAGACGAAGGATCCTTATAAAAACGCTACCCTTCTCAGTTCACTTCCGCTCAATAGCTTAGAGGGATTGCTATGCTAAGCAAGATAAGGAGATTGAAAGGAACACCATTACTCGAAGCGATGTGCTAGGATGTGTGAAGAACAGGTAATGCTCCATAAGCGCAGGGACATAAAATTCAGAAACAACTTTGAGAAAACTAGTGTACAGAAGAAAGGCAAGAATTACAAGGTTATAACACATTTTCTTTTCATTTCTAATAAAACTGATTATTTCGCAATAAAGAGGTAATGAATTCGCATCCACATAAGAAAAACAAGAATCAATATAAACACTTCAAGCAAGACTGTAAACATGTTTGGATGAATTTTTTATTAAAAAAACGCTGTGAGCATGCAAGAATCATCATAAAATAAACAAGCAATCAGAAAAAATGAATCCGAACTCCGTACCCCCATCGACATAGTGCACAGCCACCATTTCCCTAGTGGCTGAGTTATAATGGTATACCGTATAGGGCGTGCCTCTTTTATTTTCGTCACGTCCTTGGGCGAGAATACATCTACGATTGGTTACGATTATATATTCCCATTTATGCGTTAATGACTATCAGGTTAGCGTGTGGGAGTTAATTTGTTATAACTCAGACTCTTTTGAGTTTATTAATATTTATACGCTGCATCTGTTGAATTCATTTTCGATTTTTAGCGCGAATACTGCTTAGAGGAGGGGGGGCCACGCTTCAAAACACTGCGGGATTGGCCCAATCGGTGCGTGTCGTACGTTCGAATGTCCGCTGCCTACCCAATCTCACTTTGCTTTACTTCTCCCCGCGCCTATTCCACTTCCCCTCGGCCACACACTCGGATAATAGTGCGGCCCCCAGCGCATAAAATAAGCCAAAGATCACAAGCACAACTAAGGCAACTACCCCCCCATTCCCACACACACCCACCAGCCTTGACCTCAGCCATGCAAACTGCTTGGATGCCTAGGTCGCCTACCGGTGTGCGCATACACGCGCTGGCAAGGACCATTGCGCTGCCCATCGCACTTGTCTTGCTGACCACTGTCATGTCCTCCTTGGCTGCTGCCCATGCGCTTAAGGAAACCGAGAGCATGTATGCCAGGCAAAAGGGAGCTTTCCCCGCTCCCAGAGACACCATCCTTTTCAATCACGCTCAAGCCGCGGGCACCAGCGGGAATTTGAGCTCGGTCATGCCTATAATTGTAAAATTGGCCAAGTCAATGAACACAAGCATAGGTGATTTTGCTTCTCCAATTCAAAACTTCTCCAACATCCTCGCCAATCTCCCTCGTAGCGCTCACATCGGCAACTCCTTGTCGAAGGCTTACATCGAAATCCCCGGTTCCATTGCACCAGTGAGGCAAAATCTGGCTGAGGTTGGCATTTCAATCGCAAGACTCTTTCCCGAACTCGACAGTCTTGTCAAGAGCGGTGAAATCATAAGTAATTTGTTCGACATCAACACGAATCAAATCGGGGGTTCAATTAAGGCACTGCACACAAACATAATCATGCTTGAGAAATCATTCCTTTCCTGCGTTAAGGGAATCGGCACCTTATACGGTGGTGATTCAAACATTCCCGCTGAAATTCGCACTGGAATTACCCATGTGGAACGTCCAATTAAAAATTTAAAAACCAATATTCAAAGAGATGAGACTGTAATTGCTCGAATTATTTAAAGGCTCCAGGATTCACTCAAAGTCCAACACATGAGCAATGAATCGAAACAAAAGATGAGAGCATTTAACGATTCAATTAATGAAATGAACAAGTACTTAGAAGGGATTCTCTCTTCCTTCAACACCAACGACAATGGGAAGCCCAATCTCATTACGATTCACGATGCCATCGATGCGTTGAAATCAAGTGTGGGAAACGATAATGTTTTACTAAAGGAACTGGGTGGTCTCTTGAGCCAATTCCACTCGTCAATCCAGAAGTTCAGCACTAAGTACCCCAAACTTCCTGCAAACGCCAGCACCAGCAAACAAATTGAGGATGACAAGGAAAAAATGATTCAATTAATTAATGAATACAACCCTAAGTAATTTTAACTCCTCAATCCAAAGCAGCCAGGGTAACGTTTCTTCTCTTGCTAAGGCCATAAACGTCAGCAAAATATTGAAGGGTAAAGCGACGCAACCCAATCTATACGAGGAAGTATCCAATCGCCTCAACAATTTAGAATATTCAATATCGTGCATCTACGCTGAAATTGCAAATGCTATTAAAAACGCCGACATTACCCAAAGATTGCATGACGATACTGAAAAAATTCGAAAATACACGTCGTATGTGACCAAAGGCATAGCAGAATTAGATACCATACCCCAGCGCCTGTTTAACGTATCTTATGCGACAGGTCAACAAATGGATATGAATCAATTGAAATCATTCCAAGCCAACATAAAGGATTCATATGACAAGGTGAACCTCACATTTCCAGGCATTTACAAAGGGCTCGATATCTCCACAGAAAAGATCAAAGAGCTTGCTCAACTTGCGAACGCCTATGGCAAGGTGAACGCGGAAGTGAATGAAACTAAGAGTTTAATTAATAAAATAAAACAAAATGTTCTTACTTTGCATGTGGGCATCCAGGGTATCGCCACAGACATCCTCAAACTTGCCAAGGCTGGAACGCCAACAAAGAGTTGGACGCAGACATGGTAAAAATGAACACTTTGATTAAATCCGTGAGCACAAACCTACGCGATATTAGCATATTAGTTTAGGGCGCAGCCACCTCACCCAATGCCCCCCCCGACGGCTCCACTAACAAAAAACCCACCGGTGGGGGTGCCGACCATCACAGCGGCTGCGCGCTCCTGCTCGGCGCCGCAGGCGCTGTGCCACGCAGGCTTTTCGTCGTCTCCGCGACGCTGGCCCGCGTGGTCATGCTCTGCTGATGCCTAGGGCCGAATGTGCGAATGCAGGCGGCGGGGGGCGCCATAAGGAGCCCATGTGCGAGATGCCGCCTGGATTTAAGCGGTGGGGCTGATCTATTGCAGCATAATTGGTTTTCCCAACACATAACATCGACCAAGTTTCCACCCTTGAAAATGGAATCTTTGTTTCCTCTAGATGTCTTGCTTGTGTGTGTGGTGGGGGGGGGGGGGGGTCGTTCCGTCCTTTCCATTTTATGCACGGCCGAAGGTTCTTCGAGCGAAATCAACGAAATCTAAAGTGGGTCGGGAATTATTGTGTGCTGAGTCTATTATGTAAAACTATTTCATCGGAAAATTGCTTTATACAGATAAAACTTTATACAAATTCTATTTTACCGGAATAATTTATGCTAACATTATTTTACTGTAACCACTTTATGCGAACTCTAGCTTATACAGTGCCATTCTATCGAAACTATTTATACTATTATGATTGGATGCATTCAGCGAAATTTTGGCCTTTGGGGTTTGGACGAGGTGCATTGCGCGGGGCGCTGCCGGACAAACTTCCCGAACTCCGTACCCCCATCGACATAGTGCACAGCCACCATTTCCCTAGTGGCTGAGTTATAATGGTATACCGTATAGGGCGTGCCTCTTTTATTTTCGTCACGTCCTTGGGCGAGAATACATCTACGATTGGTTACGATTATATATTCCCATTTATGCGTTAATGACTATCAGGTTAGCGTGTGGGAGTTAATTTGTTATAACTCAGACTCTTTTGAGTTTATTAATATTTATACGCTGCATCTGTTGAATTCATTTTCAATTTTTAGCGCGAATGCTTTTTCGGTTTTGTTTCTTTTTTCTTTTCACTTTTTTTTTTTGCTTTTATCTCATTGTTTTATCTTGATCTCTCTTTTTATTTTTATACTTTTATGTTTTTCTTTAATTTATTTTTTAGTATTATCTAATAAGTAATTTTTTTAACTTATTAACTTCCTTTATTTTTATGAATTAATATTCTTTTATATTCCTAAAACCTTTACATTATTTGTAATTTGATATTGATACTTTTTTAGTAAATTGAATATTTCTTTTTTTTCTCGGTTTCTTTATTTTCCTGTTGATGGATTTTTTTATCTTTAAATTTTTGTCAAGCTTCTTTGCAATAACGAGAATTTTTATTTACGTCTCTCGTGTTTTTTTTGACTATGAACTTTCTCTTGTAGATATTTTATTGAAATAGGAGTCTGAAGTAATGTGTGCGTTAAGAAGTTTTTTCTGTTATTATGTTCGCAGTATTTTTGTAAAAGAAACTCACTATTTGAGTCTGTTTTGTGTGATTTTCTTTCTTCCATATATCGATTTTTGCCACAACTTTTGAAGTCATATAATTAGTTTGTATCAAGTTCACACATAATTATCGTTTTTCTTTTTCTTATAAAGCCTCGAGCTTTACTAATTTCACTATAAAAGGCTTAAATTTTATTAAACAATGCCAAATGAAGTAGGAATTCATGACAAACATATTTTTACTTCTTTTTGATTTAGTATTATTATTAATAATAGGCTAATGTATGTTTTTAATAGTGAAACTCTACTGATCTTTTAGGTGTGTCATTATCTATTTCTCTCTATCCTATGATTATTTTGTCTATTTTTTTCCCAGTTTACTGAAGCCTGAATGATAATATTGGTTCAAAATAATTATTAAAATTTTATCAAAGCGTCACATTAGACCGAATAATTACTCTGATAAATAATTCTTCCTGAAAATTGTAGCCTTGGTTTTCTGACATTCCCCTATTACTATTTTAAATTTTAATTTAACTTCTAAGGGAGATAATAAATATTATCATGATTTATAAGAAAGCTAAGGGGATATAACTGATGTGTTCATCATATTGAAAGGTGCTTCCTAATGTTTATACTTTGAGCCTTACATTTTTTTCTTCTTCTTTTCATAAACTTTACGACCGCGTCATTCTGACGAAGCTGACCGCATTATTATTATGTAAGAGTTTGGTGGCCCATATAAAGAAGCGAAGCTGAGTATGTCGGCCATAGTACCACATGTTTTCCCCTGATAATCCTCCAATACCTTGTACTATTATGTGAGACCATGTTAATCGCGATTACTGCCCACAAGAGGTATCGCCTTAATCAGTGATTATGATTTGAATGGTGTCAACAGAACAAAATAAAAAAGCATGCTGTACGGAAAAACACGATATTATATATATAGTAGGGTTTTCATTCCTATACTACTGATACGATTACGATAATGGAAGTATTTATATGCATAGATATTGGTGATACAAAATCACTGAATTACACCAACACTGTCTTGCACTCGTTGACATTTGAGAACTTTATAACTTGGAAGATCATATTGATCATATAGGTTTCACGTATTTTCATTGCTTTTTAAATTATTCATTTAACTTCATATTTTCCTTGATATAAATACTTTCTACTTTTTTTTGTCTTTGTTATTCACTTGAAGGGGGACATAGCATCTATTTGCATTTATGTGAGCGGATTGATGGTTTATGTTTTTTATCTATCTTAGGTGATTCAGATCTTCAAACGTGATGACCCCTTCGCTTTTACCACTATTGGTTCTCTTTAGTATTCAAAATATAATTAGCAGCCTTTACGTCTTTTAAACTTGATGTAGTTTAACAAGGAATTTTTGTGGACAGATATTGTTTTAGCATCGCATATTATAGATTTTCATAAGAAAATCTACTACCTTAAAGAGTGAATTTCATAAATAGAATTGGAAGGAAAATTAAAGATATCAAAGACCAATGTCTGGAAGTATCGTCATATCAGCCTCTTATGATAAACAAGTTCGTTGCTGGGACGCTGCTACAGGTCGCACAGTCTGCTGCTTCACTTTTCAAGACTCTCAAATAAACGCCATCCACTTAGTGTGTCAAACTCATTATCTTGCTGTAGCAGGGTTTAATGTAATTCGATTATATGACATGAGTGACGTTAGCTGTGGTAATATTATAGGTTCTCAAGTTCTGCAACAACAACAGCAAATGGTTACAGCTGCTCCTGGAGGTCAAACTGTGGTTGCCCCACCACCTATTTTTTCTTTGTACGAGACACAGGGCTGCATAAATTTCACAAGCCTTGGCTCATTTCCTCTACTTCCAAGGAAAAATGCAGTTGAGGAAAGAAATTTATACCATAATAACATTGTGAGTACAGAGGACTCATCACTTTCTACTTGCGAGCATGACAAGTCAGTATCCTTCGCCTTTTCACATGCAGCAATAACATTGAAACCTAATGAAAAAGATTTAGGTCATGCAGCAGACAGCACGCGCGTCATTTTATATGCTACCAGTGAGGATGGTCACATTCGTTTTTTTGACGCAAAAGCTCCGAACACAATGTGTGTCCTTAGGGATATTACAACCGGAGCCGCCATCACGTGTAGCTGCCTTTCACCAGATTCTCGTTTTTTGCTGACAGGGAGCCAAATTGGTCAGGTGTCCGTGTGGCATATTCCTACGATCATCACCAGCATCGTGCGTGAACAGCAACAACAGCGGTATCAGACTACTTCTGCCCAGGGAGGAACATTTACGGAGGTGTTTTCCGCAGATTCACAGGAGAATCCAGAGAGAACCGCTGTCATAGGCAAGTTTGGTAGGCGACCAGTTCATGAATTTGCATTGGAAGGTGACTATACATCCGTGCGCAGCGTTTCTATTGATCCACTAGTTCGCTGGTTCGTTGTGGCCACAAATCAGGGCAAGCTGCATTTTTTTCGTTTCACACATGATATCTCACTGTGCGGCACTAAATCTACTCAAGGTGTTCAATCCTTAAAGTCGTGGGTATGTGGGGAAAGCACAGAAGCAACACTCGCTGCCGTTCCAAGGGCTCCTCATGAATCTGCCAATGATGAGGGAAACTTTTCGTTCTTTCTGCCGCATCATGGTGGGGCTGAATTGAAGAATAATTCTCCGTTTCCGCAGACTATCCCACGTGAGGGTATTTCTTCTTCTGCTTTTGTAGCAGATGAACTTAGCAACTGTCCTAAGTGTTCACCAGACACCGATGTTGCCACTGTACACCGCAGCTCGCGCACTGCCAATGCACAGGCTGACAGTAACGCTCGCTTGGGCGATTTCCATGGCAGCAGCACTGTATTTGGTGCAGCTCCACTTCACCAATCAGAGCATCACCAGCACCACAACAGCAATAATCGCAACATTTTTTCAGCTTCTAATACTCCACAGAAACTTGCGAGTCGTAATGACAGAGTAAATGTCACACCCCAAAGAAGAACGCCATCCCCAGGCCCACTTTCGTCATCACTCGCTGTAATAGGTAGACTCCAGTTTTCATTACAAAAAGAGATGGAATTCGAAGAGTTTTATACCTTTCGGGCACACCACAAGTACATTCTTAAGATAAGCATATCACCTAATGGAGAGTTGCTGACAACTTGTTGTGCAGATTACACGGTGGGGCGATTTATAATTCCTGAGATTATGCGGAGGAGGGGAAGCATGGTTGGTGGTGATACCGTGCAAGTCTTAAGCCCGGAAAGGAACTCAAGTATGATTTGCCCTGAACAGCAAACTTGTGCTTTTAAATTAAGCTTGGCACCTACTTTTCACAATGAAATTAATGACGATAATCACACGAAGGAAGCAGTCTCGAAGGTCTCTGATCCGTTAATGTGTGTGGACTGTGCGTCAGACGTAGTGCGAAGGTCAACAGGTAATCCGAATACTCCTAGTAAGGTTGCTGAGGCAACAGATATTGCCCATGGGAATGCTTCCGATGCTGGACCAGGTTTGCAATCAACACAAAGCCAACAACACCAATTGCAAAGTATAAATGAGGTCGGCACCGAAGGAGTCCTTTTGTCATCTAACGCTCACGATAAAAATAACCAACGTGAAGCGCCGCTGTTAACAAAGGGAGTTGGTGCTTCTATTGTTAATATTTCACCAGCTGATGAAATTTCACATTCAACTGACTTTTGTGATGATTCACATCATGGTGGGGATATGCAACTTAACAATCGAAAAAATGAAAACACCATATTCCCCAACACACAAGTTAAAAAAAATGGATTAGATTTGTATTTTAAGCCCTTACCACCGTTAGTAGATCACAACCGATGGGTTTGGGATTGTGTCTTCAGCGATTGTTCTCAGTTTCTGTTCACCGTGAGCAGTGATTGCCATGTTCGGATGTGGAGCAATATAGCCTCAGATAAACCGCAATCGACGGTATTTGTGGGGCATACCAAACCTGTCACAGCAGTACTGTTGGCGTACAATTTATAATACTTTTGGAGGGATACCCTGAAGAGTATATTTGTTGAATTTCTCTTTTCTGCAATTTTTATACGAATATTTCTTAGAAAAACAAAAAAACAAGTGGAAATATGCATGGTGAACACATTGGGATATTATCATGATACAACTGTGTATTTTGTCATCATTGATCAGGAAAGAGAATCTAAACAAAATGGATCTTTGAATGATTATCCTTTTTTCTTATTTGAAGCATTCCACAATTGTTTGTTGTTGGAAGCGTAGTATGTGGTATGCATTTGATATTTCTTTGTGATGTTTGAGTCTGGGATTACTTCCTTTTTCGTATGGTTTTAATACATTTTGCTTTTGCTTATTTTCTGTGTGTTAAACGATTATAAGCACACCAACATAGCGCACAGAGTGAAGTGAGTAAAAGTGACGTTACATTTTTTTTTCATTTTTTATAAAACAATCGTGAAAACAATTCCTTAATTTTGCGACTCATAGAAACACTTCGCTCATGCGCATTATATAGAAAAGTAATTGAAATTTAAATAGCAACAGTCTTTTGAATGGCTATTTATGGCACATCTCAATACAGCTAGTCAATCATCTGAACGGCCATGGTTTTTTTCTCACATCTTTGCCGTTTGCTCGAACGTTGTATAACATTGCAACATTGCTCAGGGCACGCATTAGCCTATAGTGGTAGTCAAGGATGTTCAAAGTAGGTACATTTGGTTTACCTCCCCCACGCCTTTTTTCCTGTGATATATAGGAATCAAGACAAGTTTATTTTTTGAGTTACTTGAGTTCGAAGTGTGCTCTTCGGCAGTGTGTACATTTCATCTAAGCCGCCAAGATTAAGTGGATTCCATTGCTCTGAGGTTATTTTAGGCTAATGTTTTAATGTTAGCATGCTTTATATGCCCCTTTACTTGCTCTGCAAGCCAGCGCTACGTGCAGGGATAAAGACCTGTATGAATTTATAGAAATTATATCCTTTATTTCATTTTTTTCCCTATTTATTCTTACGTTTAATTTTTGTCTCTTATCGTTTAGGTTTATAGTGATACTAAAGAAAGATTCATTGATGCCTAAGCGATCGCTAGGTCTGCCTGCGTGCCTACAGTACACTCTGAATTCTTGTAACAGGTTGTTTTTTCTTTATCTTTCCACAAGGGCGACTTCACTGACAGAACATGTCATATTCAATCAAGTGCGATACGGATCCTCATCCAGAGATAGGAATGATCGGGACAGTACAGACTCCTTTTTTTCTGAAAAAGTAAAATCAGTTATGAATTTTGAGAACGATGAGCGAATTGAAGTGAAAAGCATGAACTCAAACAACTCGAGTGATGCTTTGCCAACAGCAACTGGAATGAACCTTCTGTCCGAAGGCTTTAGCGGGTGTACCTCCTCAAATCGAACCGTAGCGCGCTTTTCCAGCAATAAAAACTACTGTATCGATATGTGGAAGCCGAAGCGGCAACATTCATATCCTCATGTCTCGGAGTCCTGTAGTTCTAACTTTGCTTCAAAATTCACTTGTGAAAAGGAAGTCACACAAACGAAATTTACTGATCCGTTTCAGAATGTCACAACGCATTCTCAGGCGGAATTGAAACCAGACTGTCAACATGACAACGACAGGGGCCAGAGCGATATAAATGAAGCTAGAGATAGTGACGCACTGTTTTTCCCAGTGACCTCGCAATCTAGTGGGGAAGATATTAGTAATCCATTTACTGTCATCAGACATATTGAGACTAAGAGAAGTTCTGAAGGCAACACAATGCGTGTTGTCAAGGATTTCAAAGAAACAACAGGAGAGTCATTGTTGTCTTCGGAGGGTTCAGCGATGCAAATAGCCCAGCATCCCCAGTCAGAAGTATCTCTGACGGCCGGTTTCATTGGTACACAGCAGCAGCTTACTGATGAATCAACTAAATATCGCTTTGATTTCGACGACGATGCGGATTTACTTCCTGAAGTTGCACCACTACAACACACCCCAGCAATGGGTGCTGCTACTGTTGCTGACACTGTTAAAGCACACAAGCAGGAGCTTTTGGACGATAATCACGTGTACTTTCCTTTAGATGCCTCCACAGTACGCACTAGGGAGGAGGGTAACAGGATGGATAGCTCCATGACCACCGCGCTGTGCTATGTTCGAGGGCAGCAAACGACTTTACCCGGTTATACGCGATATCGCGTGGATGTTCAGTATCAGGGTGGGGATTTTGACGGGTGGTGGAAGAGCAGTACGACGCAGTGGTACCGCTCCCCTGGCGGTACCGATCCCACGTTGGGTGAGAACTTGGGCGGCCGCGCCACGCGGGCGGAGGGCATGCGCGCCTCCTCTCCTCTTTCTTCCTCCGCTCCCGCTTCGCTTCCCCTCCTTCACGCGCGGGTCGTGCTCGAGGAGGCGCTCGCGGTGGCGCTGGATCTGGGGGAGGTGCGGGTGGTCGCCGGGGCGATCCCAGAGCGGGGGGTGTCGGTGCGGCGCCTGTGCTGCCACTTCGACGCGCCCGCCGACCTCGCACTGCGTCCGCGGACGATCCTGCAGCGCGCCGCGATGTGGCTCCGTGCGCGTGGCCACCCCCTCGCCCTCTTGTGCTGCCACCCATGCCGAAATCCGGCTTTCCACGCGCGACACGCCGGCGCGCGGCGGGTCTACTGCTATCGCATCCTCAACCGCATCGCCCCGCCGCTGTTTGAGGCGGGGCTGCAATGGCACGTCGACCGCGCGCTCGACCTCGCGCGGATGCGCCGGGTCGCCGCGGCGATGACGGGGACGCGGGA